CAGGGATTTGGACGAGATAACATCCAACGAAGAGGTGCGCGCGGCGATTGCTTATCAATTTCCAGCAATAAATGTAAGTGACATCAACGTCAAGTTTTGGCGTGCCGCAAGGGACAGCACAAGATCAGCAATTATTGACCTTCCTACTAAGGATGCCAGTGTATTGATTGCAGCTGCCTCAGTCAGAGTTGGCTGGGTACGCAGTAGGATCAGAAAGCATATCACACCCATGAGGTGTTTCAAATGTCTTCAATTTGGACACGCTGCTAGACAGTGCAAAAGCGATAATGACAGATCAGGCACATGTATGAGATGTGGACAAGATGGTCACAGGGCAAAAACGTGCTCGGCGCAACCAAAATGCATCCTATGTCCGGAAAACTGCAACGGTGGCAATCTACACTACTCAAGAAGTTCCAAATGTGAATTCTACAGGAAGGCTATAAAAAATGATTAAATTTCTGCAATTGAACCTAAATCGATGCGAAGCTGCCCAAGACCTTTTATCCCAAACAGCTTTGGAATTAAAGACAGATGTACTCATAATTAGTGAGTTTTACAAATCAAAAGAAACCTCCAAATGGGTACAAGATACTACTGCAAAGGCTGCCATTTGGCTAGGACAGGACATAGTGTTTGAACCAACAGTATTGATACAAAAAGAAGGTCTAGTACTTGTCAGAATCCGGGGTATCTATGTGTGCAGCTGTTACATATCCCCAAATATCTCCCAAGAGAGATTTGAAGAGTTTCTTGATAGGCTATCAGGAACAATCAGAAACAAAACTCCCATCATTGTTGCAGGGGATTTCAATGCTTGGGCAGTCGAATGGGGCAGTAGTAATACAACGCGCCGAGGTAGAGCCCTATTAGAAACGTTTACCTCACTAAACCTAATACAACTGAACAATGGGCATAGCCCAACGTTCGATAATGGTAGAGGCGTTTCCTACATAGATCTCACCTTTGCCAGCCCGTCATTAGTAAGGGGTTCGCAATGGAATGTAACAAACCACTACACCCACAGCGACCATCATGCAATTCTTTTTTCCTTATCGCTAAAAGAGAAGTTTGTTTTGAAAAAATCGCAGAGAAAAGCACAGCAAATAGGCTGGAAAACTAAGTATCTTGACACAGAGATAATGGAATTCATGACCGAAAACATGAGTTTCGGAGTCGGGGATGCTTTTGAAAAATCAAATCACCTTATGAAGGAATTATGCAACGTCTGTGATGCATCAATGCCAAGAAAAGGCAGAGGTAATGGGCGCCCATCAAACTATTGGTGGACGGAAGAAATAGCTTTACTAAGATCTCAGTGCTTTGCCTCCCGTAGGCAATTCCAACGTCACAGATCTGGAGTAGATGCGGAAAGGCTTCTACAAAAATACCGAGAGAACAGATCTAAACTTAAAAAGGCAATTATTAGGAGTAAGAATCAAGCTTTTCAAACTCTGATCAATGATGTAGAACAAAATGTCTGGGGCGATGGCTACAAAATAGTAATGCGTAAATTTAAGAGGTTAAGAGGCTCGTACCTTCATGTCCTAAAATAATGGCGAATATCGTGAAACATTTGTTCCCAAAAAAGGGAGAACTTAGAATTTTAATACCGATAAACACCGATTTAAATGAGATACCTCCGGTTACAAATTCTGAAGTCATAGCCGCTTCTTCCAGAGTTAAGCCCAATAAATCTCCTGGTTTGGATGGAATCCCCAATACTGTACTGAAGAAGGCAATACAAAAACAAGCTTCTATATTTACGGATGTTTACAACAGCTGCCTACAGGAAGGAATCTTCCCTTCGTGTTGGAAAAAGCAAAGATTGGTGCTTATTCCTAAAGGTAATAAGTCCCCAGAACTGCCATCATCTTATAGACCTTTATGCTTATTAGACACTGCAGGTAAGGTCCTTGAAAGAATTATAAGTTCTAGATTAGAAAAATTCACAGAGGCAAGTCAGGGTCTATCAAATAACCAATTTGTCTTTAGACCTAAACGCTGTACTGTTGATGCTGTACTACATGTATGCAACATTGCAAAGGAAGCTACTAAGGGCGTAAGGTGGCTAGGTGGTACTAAAAAGTACTGCGCGGTAGTGACCTTAGACGTTAAAAATGCTTTCAACACTGCTGAGTGGAGTAGCATCTTAAATGCACTGATGAAAATGAGAGTCCCAGAATATCTTTTGAAAATTATAACATCATATTTTAAAGACAGAGTACTCTTATATGATACAGAATCCGGACCCAAAATATATAGGATTACGGGAGGGGTCCCCCAGGGATCAGTTCTAGGGCCAATTCTTTGGAATATCATGTACGATGGTATCCTTCGAATTGAAAAGCCGGACGGAGTGCACGTAGTTGGGTATGCAGATGATATTGCAATAGTAGTGGTTGCAAAAACTCTAGACGAAGTGGCTAGGAATTGCAGCGCTACTATTGCAGCAGCTAAATCGTGGCTGCAATACAGCGGATTAGAGCTTGCTGAACATAAAACTGAGGTGCTATTAATCACAAGTAGGAAAAAGATTGAACAACTCTCAATTAAAGTGGGTGGAGTAGATATACAATCTAGCCCCCAACTTACATATCTTGCTGTAACCTTAGATAGTAGGTTGAGTTTCAAAACTCACCTAAAACAATCGGGAGATAAAGCATCACGTGTCTGCAACGCATTATCTCGATTAATGCCAAACATAGGAGGTCCCAAGGACACCGCTAGAGTTCTTTTAGCATCAGTCTCCAAGTCGGTGATGCTTTATGCTGCTCCGGTGTGGGCACATGCTACAACCATTAAGTCGTATTCACGTGTAATGAAAAGTGCACATAGATTGTCAAACCTACGCATCTGCCGTGCTTACCGTACAGTATCGGACGATGCTGCGGGAGTATTGGCTGGACGCATGCCAATAGACCTTGAAGCGTTCTTGGCCAGAGACAATTTCTTACAGCGCTCTCGTCGGCGAACGACTGAAACTGGGCAATCTTTGGCAGAGTCTTATCAAGATATAAGAGACAAATACCTTAATGAATGGCAACATAGGTGGGACCATTCCCAAAAATCAAGATGGACGCATTCGTTAATTCCAAATATAAGAGTTTGGATTAACCGAGGATCTGGAGACTTGGGATTTCAATTAACACAGTTTCTTACGGGGCATGGCTGCTTCCGTGAATACTTATACCGGTTTAGGCTAGCAAGTAACCCGTACTGCCAGTACTGTCCAGATAAAATTGAGAGTCCTGACCACATAATTAGAGACTGTATAAGATTCGTAGATACTAGACAAAATCTAGAGACACTAATTGGGGAATCCAGCCCTTCTACTATGGTAATGCAGATGTTGGCAAGCATCGAAGAATGGAGCTTTTACAAGAGCATAATCTCTAGAACAATAAATACTGTTAGAGCGGACGAAATACTTAGTACACAATCGGAGTGAATGCACGCTAAGTGCTCTTCTAACCTGCCCTGTGAAGGAATACCTTAATTGGTCGTACTGCAGGGATTTTCAGGATTTTGAGGTGAGAATGTAGGGGACTTTTTAGTCCGTAGGCATGTATGACTCAATTTGAGTCGTGCATGAATCGGGCATGCAAATGGTACGGGCCATTTGTATCTTTTGAAGATTTTTCCCCCAGGTCCGATACCAAAAAAAAAAAAAATATGTACAAAAACATCTTCTTATTCATATATTAGATTTTTATTTGAGATATGTTTACAAAACAATTTTTATTAATAATGAGCACCGGCTGTCAAACATCCTGACAACAGAGACACGTTTTATACTTAATTTGGAATACGTTTAGAAAACAATTTTTATTAATAATGAGCATTGATTGCTATATATCCTGCCAAAAGAGATATGGGAAAGCAAGATAGTTTAAGTTCAAAATTAATTGAAATATCACAAATCAAGTTTTTTATAGAAAAATCAAAAAGAGACCTTACTAAAATCTAATTCATTGGGTAAATGGAAGATATAGAAACACTGCAAATCGTGTTTTTTTGGAAAAATTAAAAAGAAATCTTACTAAAATATTCTTGGGAAAAAACACAATCACTACCTACAAAGAAAAGTCGTAATTCTAATACGAATCTATGAGATCAAGGAGCATACAGTTACTGCAAGATATTTTAAATACAAGACAATTAAAATATCCCCAATCCTTTTGCTTAACTTCCTTTTTTCTATACTTCGCCCATGCTTTCCGGCTTAAATAATGGTAGACTTCTGAATACTAAGTCTTTTTATCTCAACTATCGTCCCATATTACTAGAATATAGTTTCGCACACTTCACTCCGGGTCAGCGGTGGAAATCTCCGTTTTTTGCGGTTTAAAGGGTCACACTGTAGCTATCGATGCTTTCTGCTTAACGCAAAAAAAAATCAATTGTATATAATGAAAGCTTGATGTGACCTCAGAAAATTGAATAGTGCTAATTATGACCAACATAGATCTATAGTATTATAATATTTGCCTATAACTTTCAATATATTAGGATTTCCGCTAAGGGAGCAGAATATCCAAACAATTAGAATACTCGCTAAAGGAGCAAGATATTTCACTTTTAGTATTTTTTGTTAAGGGAGCAAAATATTGCTGTCAGTCTGAAGAATTAAAAACAATATATTTTGGGAAAGCCTTGCTCAAAGAAGAAATGATGATACCTGTATTGAACGATCGCAATAAGTTCGATTGAGAAAGACTAATTCAATGCTTAAAAAATGTGTTGTTACGAAAATATTTAGTATCGGTTTATAATTTTTGAACTTATTTTTTAATAATAATGTTTAATTTAACTTCCGACTGATAACATTTTCCGTCATCTTTTTTTCTTTAAATAATTAATTAATAAAAAATTGTAGATTTATTATAAATTACTAAATAAAAAGTATTCAACTCACTAATATTTATCAATATAAAAAACTTTAATTTTTAACAGACAACACATATAAAAATAACTCAAAATATATATTATACATAATACATATATATATAATATACACAATATGTATATATATATAATTTTTTGCATCAGTGATATTTTCAAGAAGGGCTTGAAACCGCAAAAATATATTGATACATTTTACGTAAGGCATAATCAAATTTTCAATAAAATATATTCAGATGAACTTTAAATTAGTTTTAAAGACCACCCCTTTATACGCTCAGGGTTTCTATGGTTTTTATTGGGCGTTAACAATACCTAATAACAGTTTTGTGATGGAGTTCGAACTTTTTTACAAGTTTGATGAATAAGATTTTACAGGCTTGTTGTTAAGGACTTCCATACAGCCCCAGTTTGTGGTCAATCCATTTTTATTTCTTTCTCTCTCTCTCTCTCTTTTTTTCTCTCTATGTTGATATCGGTAGTAACATCATCTTGGTTTGTTTTTTAAGTAGGTCAAAGTTTGTTATTGTACTATGTGTAAAGATAAGCATCTGTGGTGAATTTATCTATACATCGAATAAAGCTCGAACAGAGTTTAAATCAGTAAACATATACATCCATGGGACAATTAATTTTCAAAATCAATGCAAGCAGATAAAGATACATATTGATTCATGAAAAAAATTGTGGAAATATTGAACTTCCTTCACTGTTTTCGTTCTCAAGTCTATAATCGAATAATGCCATGTTTGAAAAGCAAATCAAATTTTTCAGGATTTAACAGAATTTAATGGTTATATGTTATGCGTTATGTGTATGTGTTTGCTTTCATTATTCGCTATGCAGAAATATAGCAACGATATTCGAAAATAAAATATGTCCGCACAAATGTCAAAGTCTAATCTGAAATGATCAATGTTTTCGTGACATTCATGCCTGAGTGCGTATCTCGGTTCGTAATGAAATGTGCTGCAGTTTAAATTTGTGTGGTAGCAGATTTTTGCCCACAAAAATGCAGCCATCAGTTTTGGAATGAAAACGATTTTTTAATTAAAAATTGCCTTTCAAGCAAAAAACAAAAAAATCCACGGATTCTATTTTTTTTTCATTTGCAAAAGAAATTTTTTTTTTCGGGTTTGGCAAAATGTTGCAAGGATGGACTTTAGTCTTTGAGTTCAACAAAATTTAAAGTTTTTTTCTCCTAGTTTAAAGCAAATCAGTGTGAAGGTTGCTATGCCAAATAAAAATCGTATTAATTGTTACAATAAATTGAGATGCGAATTGGTGTGGATTTTGAAGTGAACATTTTTTTTTATTAGAAACTTTTTTTCCTAAATAATTCCTAAATAATATGTTAAGTATAAGTTTCTAGGGGCCCCTTCTTCAATTAACTTGACGATAGCTCCAGCATTAGCCAGATTCTTGCCTTTATTAATACCTCCGGCTGGTTCTAGTTTGACCTTCTACCTACTGCCCACTATTACGAGGTTTCTGTGGATTCAAAACGGCTTTTAGGCTAATTAAGGAGGACTTGTCCCTCCCTCCACCTCAACTAACTAACTAAATAACATGTTAAGATTTATTAAAAGTGACAAGAAGCGAACATTTTATAAATTAGTTGCTTGCATAAAAAGTCTTTGCTTGCATCTCG